GAGAGCGGAAAAGCTCACAGGACATTTGTGCATTACAGCCCAGTAAAAACAGGATGGGAACTGCTCAGAGCAGAGACCCCAACTGCCCAGATATTACAGCCCCAGCTGGGAACAATACTCACCCACTGTCCCTGGTGGAAAGAGGCCCCACCATACCCAGCCCCATTCATACATGCCTGAAGGGACACTGTCAGCCCACACCCCAGTTTGAAACTAGGAAGGGAAACAAAAGCAAAATGGGAATTTTAAAACGGCCAAGATGAAGGATTTTCCAGTTCAGCCATTTGCACTTCACCCCAATTCACCAGCAGCTCACAACTGTCTGGACATAGAGAATGGCCTGCACCTCTTCTAATAAGCAGCCTGCCAGTGAAGCCACAGATTAATTCTTTGGGATCTGTGCACATACAGGGCATGTACACTTGAATCTGGCTGGATGCAGCTTCAATCTCCCCTACTTGTTAATGTGAACCTGCAGCACCCCACAACTCAAACCACTTTGCAAGGGGGTGAGCAGCCTTGGCCAACCTGCTCACCTGCTGGCCTGGGAGTTCAATCCTTGATTCTGACGCTGACCTGATGACCTTGGATAAGTTCTGTCCCAACCCACTCGTTTGTCCTGCCTATGTAGCTTGCAAGTTCCCTGGGCCTGAGGCCATCCCCCTCTAGGAGTCAGCACAGCACTGGGTTCTGCTGAGCATCCTGGCACTGCTGTCACACAGCAGAAATGGGGAAGGCTGAGCAAGTCACTCCTTCAGCCTGTGTCTCAAGGCCATACAGTGAGTCAGTGGCCGGGAACAGAACTCAGGTCATCTGGCTCTCACTGGCCATATCCAGAGGGTCAGCCACACTACCTCCAGAATCTCTCCCAACCCCTGGCCTACACACCCATCCTTCTACCAAAGCCCCAAAACCCCAAATAGCAAGATGTCACCATGGCTCAGACCCGGGTCTCTGTTCCACACTCCATCCACTTCCCCAAAGCCAACATACAACCCTGCCTGGTGCTGAAAATACACAGCATGGACCCAGAAAGGGTGGAAGCCAACAGCTCTAACTCTTGCCTTACCTCCAAGCTCTCGTATGCTGCATGCCAAGAGGCCAGCTGGACTCTACCCCAGAGCTGGCTGCATTTTAGCAATGGACAGTTTCTGAAGCAGCTCAGAAAAAAAATTCCATCCAGATGCAATCTCAGACGCAGCCTTGGTGTGAAGACACCAGGGCCCTTGTCATAGACATTTATCCACCGCTGCTCTTTTGCCATCTTTCCTTTCACCCACATAATTAGAGGGCGAAAAGCAGTGGGGGGCGGGGGGGAGGGGGGAGCAGGTTCAAGTATCCATGGGGATTCTCAGACCTTCCTTCCCCTCTGCCATGTGACTGCATGTTTATTATCTTTTTATAATAGAAGGTTACAGGGTTTCTATTTGAAACATCTATTTACATTCCACATTCCTCCCCCTTGAAAAAAGAAAAAAAAATCCCTCCGAGTAGCCAGAGCCGTTGCACAGATCCCGAGGCAGCGGCCCGGGGAGATGCCAAGCTAGTGAGATGGCTGGAGCAGCACTGCACACAGCCTGTAATTTGGCAGGCAGGGTGACTCACGGCTGGTGAAACAGGAGCTCATGCACCCCTCTGAGTGTTGGAGCCAGAGGAACAGAGAACAGGCCCCCTGCTCTACACAAGGGCAGGGTTGGGGTACACCATGCATCCCCACTGTGCCCCAGCTTGCAGCCTCCCTGGCTTTGGTTGTTGCAAACACAGAAGCCTCACAACTCTGGAGGCACAGACAATACCTTGGAGGTAACACTGACTGGAGCACATGGCAGGACCCCCCTTGATGTCAAAGGGGGACTTTTGAGGGCCCAGCATGCCCAAGTAGTTAAAATCCAGCAGACAGATAGGAAGCACCCATCGTGGGGCAGCTCTGACTAGACAGGACATGGGGACTGGTGACATTCCCCTCTGGGCCTCCAGCTTGCCAGCTCTGGGCAAAGTGCTTTGCCTTCCTCCACAGAGCAGAAGTCTGCCCTGCAAGGCCTATGGAAAGGGTAGTACCACAGGGATCACGCTCTGTCTAAATGCCAGAGGAACAGGCCCCTACATGGGTCTGCCCCACAGAAGCTGCAGAAGGGAGGCAGCCAACTGGAGGCTTTGAATACTCCAGTCCACTGGACCCTGTGCAGATCCCAGCTGTGATCTCCCCAGTTCCAAACAGCACATGGGGGCTTCTACATTTCCCCTCTGGGAGCAATACCAGCATCAACAGGTTTGTCCAGGCTCCATGGTAACCCTCACCAGAATCCTCGCCCATCAGGCCAGGATCCCATCCACCTCCCAACGGGCCCAGTCCTGAAAACATCTCTAGGAGACAGCCATGGCCAGGCAGAGCAGAGGGAACATGGGGTCACACCTGCTGCTGAGTTGCACGAACACTAAAGCAGAAGGGTGCGTTACAGAAGTCACAGACAGTGGCACATCACTGCCAAGTCATGAGGCCATGCAAATGGTCTGTGGAGTACACCACCCTGTCCCTATTCAATTCAAGGGGCCATGCAGGTCCACCAGAAACATTAACAGCAATTCCTTGGTCCAAAAATCTCAGGTAATCACTACCCAGCTCAGCTCTCCCACCCAACAGAAGGCACGGCCCTGAACCCAACATATCCCTGCCCCCAGCCCAGAGAATCTGACACCATGCAGAATACTCTATGCAGAAGCCCCCCAGCCCAGCCAGGCTGCCCTGCAGCTTGCTCTAACCAGATGCCCAAAGCCTCATGTACCTGTTCTAGCCTGCCAGGAAGCAAAGCAAAGCCCCCCAGAACTGGAGGACCCATCCAGATCAGCTAATGCTGGCATAACTGTGCCCGCTTTACAAAAGGCACTGACAGGCATATACCTGCCTCACCTCTATACACCCCACCTGGCCTCTCTCATGAGTGCATTACATCCCAGCAGATCAATATGCTCCACCCCCTCCCACCCCCGTCTGGCTGGCACAGTGTGGAGTGGGGGAGGAGCCGTCACACACAAATCATGCACGACAAAGCCAATGTGCACCCGTGTTTATCCTGCGCCCACGCCCCTCTGCTCCCTACGTCTGCTGAGCATCGGCTGCAGCGTGGCTGACGCAAGTGCATGGCTGATGTTTATGAAAACAGTCCTTCCCCATTAATGGGGTGGGAGGGGGCAGTGAGACTGGCAAGCTTGTGGAAAAGAGTAAGGAAACAGCACACAGTGAGGGGCAACAAAGCCGGGGAGAATGGACCCACCAGCTCCAAGGTCTCTCCCGGCCCCAGGAAGGGAGAGAGTTGATGCTATCAACCCACCAGCAGCAGACACATTCCTTGAAGGCAGAGTAGGGAGGCTAAGATGGACACTGGCCACCTATGGTTCCAGCTGGTGGGGGGAAACTACAGAGCTCTGTCAGCACATACCTGTTGCAAACAGATACTGAGTCTAGCTGCAGAACAAAGGGGGAAGATGTGCGTCAGGGGGAAGAAACCCCATAGCTTGTTTACTAGAGAGCTTTAAAGTCTTCTGAGCAGAGTCAGGACCCTCAGAGAGTGGGAGGGGGATGAGGGGCGCAGAACAAGACTGCAGCTTGAGAGGACAAAAGTCCCAGCAGGAGCTGCCTCTGCGAGTCTATCCAAGCCCACCCCAAAACACCAGCAGACCAAATGGCACTCTGGCCACAAAGAGCCCCCACTGGACATGGGCTGGGGGCAGAAGTTCGAGTCATCCTGACCCCGCATTCACCAAGAGCTGTATCCCATCACTTAGAGAGGAACTGCCCCAGCCAAGATGAGGGGCGGGCATGTTGGAGGCCACACGGCGCAGCACACGCACTAAGCACGTGGCATATCAGCTGTCAGCACTAGGTGGTGTCAGGCACCATGCCAAAGGGCACCAGTCCTCTGTCTGGTCAGACCACAGACACCCCACCACCAATTACATCCCTGCTGGGGAAACCAAGATGCCACCTCCAAGGGCCAAGGCCATTAAGGGGTTCATTCTGGGGCTGCCAATGTGACCATGGTGGGTGCCAGCATACAGCAATACCCACAAAGGTGTCCCTCCAGGGCCAGTTGCAACCCAAGGTCCCAAGCCAAGGCCAAACCTGAGTACATCTGCTGGGGATCTGGCCCTCAGCTTCAAAGGGGTTCAGATCAGGCCCCAAGTCAGGCCCCCATGTTGGGGAGCACGGCCCATTGCAGAGAGACCACTGACTACAGATCAACCAAGGAAGTGATGCTGACTGCAAGCCAGGGGAAAATGGCAGGAGTGGGAACAAGAGGGACCCCACAGGAACCAGCTTGCTTCTACAGGGAAGGAGACTGCCAATCAGACCCTGCCTTGGCCAGACAAGTGAGTCTGCTATCAGACCCAAATGACCCCTTCCCAGTCCCTCAGCCAGAGCCCTAGAGCCAGCTGGGGTTGGTTTCATTCATACCCAAACTAAAAGGAGGTAAACGTTTTCAAACCAAGAGAAACATGGCATTATACCACCTGTGCGCCCCATTAGGCTAGGCCTGGGCCCCATCCTGCCAGGTTCTAAGTAATTCCTGCCTGGTGTCACAAGTCACCAGGGACTTGGCAAACAATACAGGATTATGCACCCCACCATCAGATCATCAAAAGAAGAGCTCAGAACCCAGGATCTGGGCTTCATTTGAAAAATGGAAGGGCAGGGGGCACAGCAGTGGCTGAACCCTCTGGGAAATATGCCCCTGACTGAGGGTGCTGAGCCTCTGCAACCTGGGCCCTGGACAAGCTGGGAAAAAAAAGTCGGGGCTTGTTCCTGCAATGCCATGGGCCCCATTCAGCTGGGTGGGGGTTGCAAAGTGCCCTCCCTGGATGGACCAGACCCTGCAGGATGGGGCCCCAGCAATGCCAGAGGCATTTCCTGCTCAGCCCCTGAGGGCTGCCTTTGAAGTAGAGTGCCCCTGGAGCTACATGGTCTACTCCCAGACCCACAGCTATGGCCACGCCACACTCACCTGCCACAGGTAGCGTGTGGATCTGCGCCCGGGACAAGAGCTCCAGTGACTGATCGCGTCCGGATACCCCATCTGAAGAGAAACATGATTCGGTCTCATAAATGGTCTGCAGCATCTCAGGCAGTCCCAGTGCTCTGGGCACAAGTAGCATGCCAGGGGGGGCACACACAGCAGCCACCGACTGCCCACTAGACTGGGCCAAACAATCCACGTCCCCTCCCCACCTTCTCCTCACTGTCCAAAGGTAGAAGAGAGGGCTCTGTATAAGGGATGGTCAGCAGGCCCAGGCTGTGGCCAAAACTCATCCGACGTTGCTCTCCCCCACTCGCCAATGGCAAACGGGGCAGGGGGCAGGTGTGCCTGGGCTCTGAGAGAAAGTTAAAGCATCCAAAGTCAGGCAAGATTCAACTCGGAGGCCCACCCCACAGAATATCAGTTCATGTGCAGGAAATGCAAGGAGGATCTTCTTGCAGAGAAGAAAGGAAACAGTCCTTGCTTATCCCGCCAGCGGAGCACCCAGGCTGAGTGGGACCAGCCTGCTGATCTGGAAGGCAGACGAGATGCTAGTGGAGAGGGAGAAGACGGTTTAAGCTCATCTCGGCACTGTGTGATTCACCCTAGGAGATGGCTTTGATCCCCGGAGGACTAGCACAGAGCTGGCGTTGCAATGGCAGCGGCGGCGGCGGCAGCACCCCCCTCCTCCTCTCCACCTCGCTGCCACAGGAGAGGGACAACAGAGACACAGGCTGCCTTTCGCTTCACCGAGACAGGAGACGAGGAAAGATGGGGCCAAGTTCCTCTCCACCCCGGCTGGCTGAAAAACCCCTCTGCTCACACACAATGCACCACTGACAGTTCCCTTTATCGGGTTTTTTTCCCATCCTTTCCACACACTGAGACAGCAACTGCCTGGGGTGACCTGAAATAGAACAAGTGGGGAGGAGCCAGCTATAAATAGCTCAAGCATGCTCAGGGAATTAGGATTGTTCATGCAAAGGGAGCCTGCCTGTCACAGCCTGCCTTTACCAAAGGGGTCAGTGTAATCGCTTCATTGGGGGAAAGGCTGCGAGCATTGCCAAACAGAGGAGAGCGAGGGCCACATGAAGGAGAGAGACAAGCAATAGGAAAACAGACTTAATGCTCCTTCTCTGAACCTCATCCCAATCTGACTGGCTCAGCCCAGCGTGTCTGGAACGTGCCAGCATCTGCTCTAGCGATGGCTTCAGAGCAGCCTGCCCAGTGTAAGGAAGATCCCCAAGCCCCGTGTCCACCCTCAGCCCCAAGAAAACATGCAAGATTCCAGGAAATTATTCCCAGTCAGGCCCTGTGCAGAGCACAGCTCCCATCCCAGGAAAGGAGAGTGCTGGAGGCTGCAACAAGAGTCCTCAGGACATTGCTACCAGGGTGGATTCAGACAGAGGGCACCTGGTGGCGATGTGATGGGCAGCACCCAGGGGGCAGACAAACACCCGAGATAAACAGCGGCCAGATCAAACTAACCCAGCAGCAGCAGTGGGTTGTTGAACTTTCCCAGCCCATTGGGCAGCCCCCAGATAGTGTGGGATTTTGCTAGGGCAGCACAGGGGAGTAGGCTGGAGTAAGGGCCTCCCAGGCTGAAGTAAGGGATGGGGGGGCTTGGTTGCAAAGGTCCCAAAAGATGCCAGGCAGCTGGAAACCAGGATGGGGCTGGGGGAGAAGCCAGGCTTGATCTTTTCTTCCTCTAGCTGACCACTCCAAGCCCAGCTCCAGCACCTGAAAGGAGAGATTGTGAGCCACAAACCAGCCCCCATGTGAAAATATCAGAGGTTCTCAGTTGCATCAAAAACAAAGCGCTGCCTGACCCTTCTCTGGCAGCCTGGGCACAGGCCAACACCAGAACAGGACCCAAAGACTAAGCCCTAAAAGAACAAGGCCCCTGCCAGGTGGGGTAGCCAGAGGCATGGGGGCAGGCCAAGACTCTCTCAGCTTGGACACTCAGAGTAAGGCCAGTCTCTTTATCCTGTGATTGTACAGCACTTTGTACTATGGCACCTCAGCCCCACAACAGTAGTTTCCAGCCACCACACAAAACAAACCATACAGTGACAGGGCATGTCTGATGCAGCCCTGGCGGAGGAACCTAGGCTGCACACACCAGTCCTCATCCTGCCTGGGACAGAGATGCTCCCAACGAGCTGCTTGGCCTCTGCTCCCCCCTCCCCTCGTGTTGCACTGCCTCTTCCAATGGCACGCACAGTCCAGAGCCAAGGTGCCTATGGAAGCACAAGCCGGGATCACCTTTCAGGGCCCCATAGCCGGCGTGCCCCGGTGGTTGGTCACCCTCCATGTTTGCCGTCACCCGCCTGCCTGGCTCAGCCACTGCTGCTGTTTTTAAGTTTCCGACCAAGTGGGAAAGGGGGAAGCGTTTATTTACCAGCGTGTTAATCCAAACCTGGGACTTTTAATAGCAGGGTTATTTCTGGACTGCTCCCCCCCACCCCATCAGCCCCCTCTCATGGACAGGGCACTTTTGGAGTTGGCGTCAGAGCTGCTATTTCTGTAGCTTTGAACGGGCGCAAGGCCATAAGATCTTTCTGCCGCCTCTGCACGCTCAACCTCTCGCCTCACATCAAGGTCCAGTGTTGCAGCAGCGGCAGCCAGGGTGTTCGGGACCAACCGGCATGCCAGCTTCAGCAGCAAGGGGATGTCCTGCTTGCTCTGTGGCTGGGTTTTCCTGAGCAGAGGTTGGGAGACACCTGCAGCTTCCTCAGCACTCCCAGCCCAAACAATCAGCACCCAGGTCCCCTGCTGCAGAAGGCAACTCCCAGGGAAAAGCTAAAACATGAGTCTCAGTACCAGCACAGCTATGGTGTCACCCTGAGTGGGGGCTGTAATACAGAGCAGACTACCCTGCCAGCATCTGGTCCAAGCTGAATTCTTTATGGGACCCATGGCCCCATTGTGGAAGGGTCCAAGCCACAGGAAACCCATACCACTGGTGACCTCTGAGGGAGATGGCAGTCCCTACAGACACCGCTGCCAGGCTGCAAACCCTAGTCATCAGCCGGGTCTCTGCTCTCCCCCCACAACCCCATACCCTCTGACCTCTGGGCTGGACTGAAATTCCTCAAGGGCAGCAAGATAGTGGGAGTGCTGCCCCAGTGAATCAGTCCCCCACTAGGCAATAAGCTGTCTCCTACCAAGGACCACAGGTCTGTCACCTGGCAGCTGCCTGGCATCACCCATTGGGGGCCATGCAGGGAGGTCCTGACAGAAGAACAGGGGCCAAGACATTCACCCTCCATGAGGAGGGAAAACTACCTGCAGCAGGAGCCTCTTGGCACAGAAGGAGCCCAGTACTGCAAGGCAGATGGCCCCAAAGACAGTACCAAGTCCGGGTTAGTGTGAAGTGTACTGCACTGAGGACTCAGATGGTCTCCAAAATACCAATTCCCATGCTACGAGTCACACAAGGGTGTATCACAGATACCATGCAAGGCCCTTCTGCCTCGGCTTACTGCACCCACCAAAGGCCTCCAGAAGTTAGATACATGGCATCAGGTTCATGCCTGCAGGTGACACATGAGAAGGGGTGTGGATAGGCTCTAGGCAAGCCAGAGAAGTTAGAACCCACCACAGAACTAGAAGTTCCAGCTCACAGGAGCACAGCAAAGTCCATGCTCAGGAGCCCAAGCTTGGAGGTGGCATCCAGACCCTCAAAGGCTTAGAACAGACAGAGGTCCCCAGTGCCAGAGCCCTGACAAAAGCCTGGGGGTCACATTACAGGAACAGCCCTTTGCTAAGGACTGAGCTGAGACCCCTCCAACGCATTGCAAGGAAAAATAGGTCACTGGAACTGGTGACTAAAAAGAGCATAAAAATGCCACAGATCCCAGGATTTGTCTTCCCACATATGCCCCATGTCTGTTGCCCGCCTTACCTAGATTTTCCCTGCCAACCTTTCCCTGAGCAAGCCAGCCCCATGGAGATGAGGAGCAGCCACCAAAAGGGTCCCTTCCAACAGTTTTTCTTGCCCACCTCAGGGCCTTTACATACTTTGCCCTGAGGTGGTCAAGCAAAACTATGATGGAAGGGACCCTTTTGGTGGTGGTGGGGGAAGGTGTTCATTGACACAAGGTGATGCCATAACCAGGCCCCAGTTAGGGTCCCATGGTACAGAAAACACGCAGCCAAGCGAGCCCAGCCCAAGAAGTGGCAGCAAAGGCCAAAATTATTTGACAAGGGTGTGGGAGGAGGGCTACATTCTCATACTGCAGGCCACAAGCTGGGGGGCAGGGGAGAAAAAAAAAAACCAACCAAAAAACAAAACAGCCTCTAGAACCTAAATGCACCCTGCTAGGTTCCTTCTTCTGACACAGCCAGCATTGCCTCCAGTTGAAGATGGGCAATGGCTACGTGGGCCTGAGCCTACTCCTACAAGGACAGCATTGTGATCCAAGCCAGGGTGAGTCTGTGAGGAGGGAGGCACCCTGCTGGTTGGTGCAAGACACCCCCCCACCCCCATTTCCCAGGGATGTTATAAAGGCTCTGGTAGCATGATGACTGAGAAGCTTGCACAACAATGCTCTTATAGGCAGGGGGATGGGGGTGGGGGGGAAGGCGGCTTTCCAGACAAGTGGGATTAGGCTGTGTGCTACAAGAGCAGCATTCTAAAAATACTACGCTGTATTTAAAGGAGGCGGGAGAGAACCCAAACAGCAGCCCTGTCAGGCAAAGAAAGCCATTGCGCATATCATAACACAGAAAGGGCCAGCCCCTGCTTGACCCTTCCCCACCCCAAAAAGGCTGTCATTTTGAGTAGAGAGAGTGACTCATGCACCTTAGGGGCCCTGCACAGCCTGGCAGATAAGTACTGGGCTGGGGGGGATATCTGCAGCTCATTCCCCTACCCTTATA